TGATCTCTGATAGCCACTTGTCGTCACCGAGGTAGGTTTTGATAAGGGCAAAGTAGGCTTTTCGGCCTTGTCCCTTCGCACGAAAAGGCTCAATACAGGAGACATAGTTCGTGGATCTCACAGCTTCATCAAGCTTCTGAAAAAGAGTCTTATCATCCGTTTTGAAGGATGGGTGCGAATGACTTGCTCTAAGTTATCGCTCATCCCAAAGAGAACCATAGACTTCAGAAAAAGCTTTGTTCTCTTCCAATGGAGGTGCAGGTTCGACTGGCACTTCCTCCGGGCGAATCACATAATACAGGGTGATTCCGAATCTTGCTGACTTCGTAGTCTGCATTGCAATCACAAATGCGGATACCCATTTCATTGGTGGAAGGGCTCGGCTAATTGTGGGGACTGGTGGTTCAGGCCTTCCTTCAAGGGAAACAATGGTCTTCCAGTCCTCGGCAAAATGTTTCAATGTGTCTTCATAATGCATCATTTCGGCAGTGATTTTGCGACCAACAAGCTTGTAGTTGCGAGATGCTTCAAATGCAATCACAAGGCGTTTGAACGAATCTTGACCAAAATGAGGGATGTTTTGGATGTAGCTGATTCGCTTCCTCATGGCCGCCTTGGTGTAGTCGGCAAAACTCTCAAATGTTGTCAAGCCATCAAGTTCCAACTGGTCCCGTATGTCCTGCACGATGCGCATCTGGACGTCTTGCTCCCAGAAAGCTGTCATCGCTGCCGGATCGATTAGCACCATAGTTGTAGCTTATTTGGGTACTGATAAACTGAATTGAATACGTGTGTAAGGTGAAGATGGTAACAGTCACTATCGTATTACGTTGTTGTTGTGAATCGTTGTTGGATTCCTTTCGATTGTGATGTGGATAATTGCATGTTTATCCAAACGGATTGTGAACGTGTTCGCGTGTTGAACCCGTTCCTTGCCAATATATACATTACTTATTGGCCATGCATGATAGCGAACAAGCTGAACATCTGCAAATCAGTCGTGGAAATCGATGGTTTCTGTGACACGTCAGATGTCAGAATGGC